AAAATGAAATAGCATACTGTAGATGACAAAATATAAGAGAGCTCTGTACATTTATTTACTTAGTGAAACTTGTTTCAATGTATGTACAGGGTCAGTGTAAAATATATTTCTTACAAAGGATCAAAGTAAAAAGAGTTCAAGACACTCACTGATCCAAAAGAATCCCAGGAAAGAAAAGAAGTTTAAACCAAGTGAAAAATGTAAGATGCATCTGGTGCAAAGTTTACTTTCTTCATAAACATTAAAGCCTCTCACGATACTTTACTTAGGAGAAAAAAAAAAACATAATAGTCAGCATTTTAGGAAACAAAACAAACACAAGATGAAACCAATTGTATATTTAAATTGCAAGAAATGATAAAAACTTTGATGAACATTTCCTTTTATCCAACGAACAATGATCTATTCTGTATCTGAACAGATCCTTAGGATTTACTGATCCAGTTACCAAAGGCTACTCCCTAAACACTTCACCCATCTTCTTCCACCTTTACCTAATGACATCATCATACACTACAGCCTCAAACTCCTTGGGCTCAAGCAATCCTCCCGCCTCAGCCTCCTAAGCAGTTGGGATTGCAGCCTTGGGTTACTGAGCCCAGTAAACTCTAGCATTTCAGATTAATGGTTTTCAACTAAAGGGAATCCCACTTCCCCCTTCCCACTTTTGGCATTATCTACAAATACTGTGATTGTTACAAACTGGGGTGTGGAAAGAGGTGAGATGCTACTAGCATCTAGAGGGTAGAGGCAAGGGATGCTCTTAAACATTTTACAATGCAGATTTACAGGACACCCACTCACCCTCTCCATGAAGAACTACCTGGCTCAAAATACCAATAGTGCTGAGGTTAAGAAACTCTGCTGCAGATCAAGTTTGTATTTCTTTCAAACCTAAATAAATGCAAGACAGATATCCTTACCCCATGTCACTTTAGTTTTTAGAAGTTCAGCAACCGCACTATGTACAATTAGGTTTATAACCAAGTATAAAATATAGCCATGTCCTTTTGCAAGTGCCACAGAACAGAAAAATCTCTCCTGGGTTCATTATAAGCTTCACTAAAATCCTTTGTCTTTGGTATAAAGTCAGAAAGGTCTCTAATAATAAGTGTACTTCATATCTGGTTGATTTCCTTACAGTATTTAAATATTTTTCCTTGACTTAAATACGTTAACAATAAAGCTTCAGGACTCTGATACAACCAATATGTAATGTATCTTTGCCCTAAAGATGGTGGAATAAGTAGAGTGGGCACTGCCAACAAGAGACAGACTGCATATAAATTACACTTTGAAGGAAATGTAATCAAAAAGAAAAGGAAAAAAAAAAAAAGGTCATGTATGTTTGAATGTTTGAGTGTTCCGTCCTCCCAAGCCCTAAATATTACTCTTCAAGCAGCTTGTTTTATATCCAGTTATACATCCTCAAATGAACAAGAGAAAGGGCTTAGGAAATCAGTAATGGTGTGAAGAAAAATATATATGGGAGGTAAATTCCTGGGAATGACTAAAAAAGTGGTGGTAATAAGTATGTGATTATGACGTGAAACACAAAAACGGAGCTCCATTTTCTTACATTTTAATCACAATGTATTATCCCGGCAAGGATTTAAACAATAGAGAACCCACTTGCCTTCATCCCACCATGTCCCTATAACTAACACACTTTCATGTATAGATTTCCAAAACTTTTCCTATGGACCTACAAACTTATCTGTGGAAGTATGCATTACGCTAAGGGAGATTTTTCTGGAGACGCCTTTCCATTACATTACATAGAGATTTATCCTACTTGTCCTAACATTTTCAGTCAGTCTTCCTAAAAAAGGTAGTTCTCAAAGTCACAAGTCTCCCCCGTTCCCCAAAATCTAATCTGGTGGACGGTGGGATGTACCGAAGTGGGGGGGGGTGCCCAACTTGAGGCATGCAGGAGCAAATGTACGCCTTCCCTAACAAGGAGGGGTATGGGATCGAGGCTAAAAAGGCTTCGCGAGAGAACTCATTGTGGACCAAATATCCGCCCTCCCACGCCATCACCGCATTGAATCCCCTTCCTCACAACACCAAGTCTAAGACCTCCCTCGTCTGGAGAGCCAATTGGGCTACGTGTGCGAGCGCCTTCCTTAGGCTGTCCGCCTACTGGCTCCAGATTCCGCCCATCCCTGTAACGGCCCGACCCTCACGTTCCCCATTGGAGTCAAACTGCTGCCTCTTGGAGAAGCCCAACCTACCGCGCGCTTGGTGCTCACTGGCTCAAAGAAACGCTGCTCAGAAAAAGAAAACCCGCCTCCCACTTTCGATGGCCCAAGGGCCGATCAGTCGGCAGCCCAAGGCAGACTCAATTGGCCTACACACTAGCCAGTCAAACTCCTGGGCTCCACAGCTCCAAAGTACCTACAGGGATAAGACATCCCGCCCCCTGTTCTACCATTGGTTGGCCCGACCCACCGCTGCCCCTTCACTTTCCCCCACCCCGCGGTCCATTCATTTCACACAATAACGGGCCCAACTGGAGTCAGTTCAAGACCTCGTATAGACAGATAAGACTGTGTGCCACTTACCCGGGATTGAGAATGATCACTCACGCCACCGTCTGCCCTAGTCCTCTATGGCAAAACCGCACCACAAGCCACCTCTGCCGCCGCCTTCTGCGCAACGCCAACCGCCCGCCAAAACGGATCCTTCCCTGCGCCTGCGCAACCAATCCCGGGCCCCAGACCCTTTCTCCGCCCATTACGCATGCGCAAAGCGGGGCGCAACTCCCGCCACTACGCAGGCGCCATAGGTTCACCGCCCTCTCCCGCCCGCCATTTCACGTGTTTCCAAGAGGCAGGCGGAACTTCTTAATGCGCCTGCGTAAATTCGCCATTTTACTACACATGCGCTCAACAGGCGGTTGTTGCAAAAAAAAAATTGTCAATGGCTAACTACTTTTTAATGCAAAATACTAATAATGCATTGTCAAGAGAGTTAAATGTAGCATTGAGGCGCGAATTTTTAAAAAGGAGTATAAACATCTTAGATTCAAATTGAATGATTAGTGGGTTACCCAATCAGACTGGTTAAGAATAAAATTACTCGAAAACCAATGGACTCCAAGGGGTGGAGACTACGTAGACCGCCCAAATGGATGACGTTATACAAGCGTGTGGCACCACAGACCAATAGTAGGGCGAAGCGATGTCAACTATCCAATCAGCGCTATGTAGGGGCGGAGTCTACCAATGCTGAAGGGTTGGAGGCGGGATAAAAAAGAGGCCGAAGGTAGGCTGGCAGATACGTTCGTTAGCTTACTCCTTTCTGCCTGTGGACGCTGCCGAGGAAGCATCGTTAAAGTCTCTTCCCACCGCCGTCATGTCTAAGTCAGAGGTAAGTCACGCGCCCTTTGCAGTTTTAATTTCTTCCTTGCTCCATTCTGAATTCGGTAGGATGCGGCTTGGTTTCGTTGTTTTCACCAATCCATTCGACAGTTCTTTGGTCGCTGCCAGGGCCTACCCCTCCCAAAGTTCAAGTCGCCATTTTGTCCTCTTCGTCGCCATGAGGCCACCGTCCGCCAACCACTAGTTAACTACCCCAGCTTGTTACTCATTGCAAAATTCTAAGGCACATAACATGTATGTTTTACCTTGTCTCGGTGAGCGAGTTACTTAAGGAGCTATTAATCCCTTTTTGGCGATGCACCCCTCCGCCCTGGTCTTTTGTTGCGCGTGCGTCAGAAAGGAGAGTAGGGACGCATGCGCCTGCGGTTTCCCAGCGCTCCCAGCCCCCAGTATCCCACCTCCCCTTATGGGGAGAAGCACGTGCCTTGTTGCCACCTAGCAAACAATAAGTGCTATGTGTGTTAGTGTCTACTTTTGTTTCTTCTTAATGGAAACTGTTTCGTATTAAAGCCCCATTCAATGCTTTTTTTCTAGTCTCCTAAAGAGCCCGAACAGCTACGGAAGCTATTCATTGGAGGATTGAGCTTTGAAACGACTGATGAAAGTCTGAGGAGCCATTTTGAGCAATGGGGAAC